AGCACTCAGGAGGCTGAGGCCAGAGGATTCCTGTGGGTCTGAGGTCAGCCTGGATTATATAGAAAGTTCAAGATCAGCCGGAACAACATAGCAAGACCATCTCAAAACACCAAAAAAGTCTATAGGGAGCAGACATGCAGACTTGTACGGATGGGCCAAAATGACAGTAGCTTATTTTCTTTCTGTAGAAAAGCAGATGTTTCAGTATTTTGTGATAGGAATGTTGGGGGAAAAAAACCACCCTCTTTTTATGTGCAAATTTTGTCTGACATTGCATGTAGTTTAAAGTTTTTTGCCAAGCATGGTAGTCCACATCTATAATCTCAGCACTCAGGAGGCTGAGGCAGGAGGATTTCCACAAGTTTGAGGCCAGCCTGGGCTACATAGTCAGTTCAAGGACACCCCGAACTACATAGCAAGACCCTGTCCCAAAATAGTAATGAAATTCTATAAGATGGTTCCTCAGGACCAGTAGGTATTCAGTGAATATTTACTGGACCAATCTGGTGTGAATGTGTCCCTCATGTTTGTATCTCTGTCACGTGGTGCGGCCGGTGCAGAGAAAGTGGGCGGCACATGTTTAGTAAAGAATGGAAGGAAGGAGGGAGGGAGGAAAGAGGCTGCACTGGAAGTGTGTCTTGTGCATGCAGGGAAAAGCACACTTCCTAGGAGACAGGCTGGGAGATAGGCTCCGCGGGTATCAGGGCCATGGCCCCCAAATGGAAGGCTTCTCTCTGCAATCTTAAGTCCTGACCCTGTGTGACCCCGTGCCACTTACAGCCCCAAGCCTGCTACTCTCTGTTGCTGGAATTCTTTTGTGAGCCACCCACAAACAGGTGCCTCTGCTGCAGGAGTCTGAGGCCAACACGCACAGCCCCTCGGGCCTCCACGCACCCCGTCCCAGTGCCCACGCCTTGGTTCCATTCTTTGTCTGTGCTGCCTTGGAACTTCCAGGCTGAATCACATATTTTAGCACTTCCTTACATCTAATCAGGGCTCATTCGGTGAACAAATACGTGTTGATTGAGTGGCTACTAAATGCCAGGCACTGTGCTGCCCTCGTGGGCATGGAGGGGAGACAGACTGTGAGCAGGTTATTGGGAAAGCGCTGTAAAGTGACATTTATGGCACTGCAGATGGAGACTAACTGGTGTCAGGGGAGGCCGTCTGTGGTAGTGACAATTAAGCTCAGACGTGAAGAATGAGAGGAGGCAGCCATTTGAAGGCCATGGGGAGCGCATCCAAATAGAAGCAGCAATGTTACATGAAGACGCAAGGTCCGAAAGGCACTTAGGGTGCCCCAGAAGTCGGAAAGAAACCCCAGGGACCGTCCTATTGAGCTGGAAGAACATTCTGAAGCGATGGTAGAGAGCTGGGCAGGGTCCTGGTGGTGCAGACCCCAGGCCACATGTTCTAAGTGCGCGGGGAGGTACCGAAGGGATGGCGCAAGTAGCTGCTGTGCAGGAGGCGCAGTTGGAGCAGAGAAGGCGCAGATAGGAGGCTCCAGGTGAGACCAAGTGGCCAGGGCCAGCCCCGGTCGTGTTGGAGTAGGGCCTGCAGTGCCAGGATGGCCTCATCTCAACTGATTACCCCCGCAGCAGCCCTGTTCCCAGGATGAGGTCACATTCTGAGGTCCCAGGATTAGGACTTCGGCACATCTTTTTGCGGGGGACCTAACTCAACCTGTAACACTTACCTAAGGCAAAGATGGAAAGAGAGACAAGCAGAAGGCTGACAGTGTGTGGCACTTGGATGGCAAAGGCCAAGCCAGGAAAGGCGGTAACAGCTGCAGCACAGAGGTGGGAAGGATGCAAGGTGGTGCCTGGAAAGCCAGGACTGAGTGTGCAGAATGGGAGGTTGTGGCCAGGGTGTGGATCACAGAGCGCAGGAGGTGACCCTCGGCTTGCACCGGTCTTGCCAAGGGCAGCGTTGGGTGGTTCAGTGTGTAGCTGCATTTGAGGAGGTGGAGAGGACAGTGTGTGGTGACAAGGAGCAGTGGGCAGTGCTGCCCACTGGAGGGGCCCCCCGGGGCAGCAGAGATGAAGGGATAGCTAGGGTTTGGATTTTTGTTTTTATTTTTTGTATTCTGCTTTGTTTTCTAAAATGGGAGCTGCTGGAGTGTGCCGTGTGCTTGTGTGTGCCGTGTGCTTGTGTGGCTACTTTTCTCAGGTCTATACGTTTGTATAATGCACATTTGTGTTTAATTGTAGCTATTTCAGTGTCACTTTCCCAGCCTGGGAGGCCTTTTGTGGACAGGATTGTACTTCTGTTTCAGACCAAGAAAAATACTCTGCTGTGCGCACATCCCACAGCACCAGGAATTTCATTTTATTGGTGAACTAAGAGCAGTTTTCGTGTGTAGTGTCAGTCATTGAAACCTGTGTGTGATGTTCCTTGCCAAAGAACATCACCAAAGTGCCTGTGTGATGGGTTAAGTCATTGGGTTCTGTTGTGCACAGCATGAGGGGACCGAAACTGGAAAGCGGGGTGTCCACAGGTTAGAAGCTGCCCGCTCGGGATTTGTGAGCTCCGATTAGTTAACTGGATAGGAAGGCAGGTTCCAGAGAACTATAGCTGCCCATTCCTGGAGACTGGAGTGTCACGCATCCCCACTTCAGAGCCGCATTGCTGCCTCGCTGCCTCCAGAGGCAGCCAGGCCCTGTGCCCCTCACCCCAGCTGACTCCACACTCGTTCTAGCACAGCAGGGCAGAAGGAAAACAACACCATCATTTCCTCTGTAATGTCCTTGTCAGACAGTCTTTCCTTTCCTAAGGGATGTGGTTTTTTAAACCGAGTCCATCCCTAGAGACTGCTGGAACCAATCTAGTGCTAATCTCATTGCTTACATGCTAAGATGAGGGAATCTGGGAGCCCTGGAGTGGGAAACTCGGGGTACAGGTCACCCCGGCAGATGGTGAGGGGAAAGCCTCAGGACCCAGAGGGTGCAACAGGGATGCCAGAGGTGAGAGCAGCCTCCGGGGCCCACAGGCACCTGCACTAAAGGAGACCGAGGCCCCAGAGAGGGTGTGGCCCAGGAGAGCTCTGACAGCTGTCCCCAGCAGAGGGGCAGGGACAGTGAGGGACCCCATAAAGAGCAGCGAGGCACCATGCTCCCTGCTGCCAGCAATGCCTCCCTTCTGTATTAGGCAGTGTCCTGTCACTGTAGTGAAATACCCGAAATCATAAACTGCTAACTGGAAAGGGTTATTTTGGCAGACAGTTTCGGAAGTTCTGGTCCCTGATCCATTCGCCCCATTATTTTGGGCCTGTAGTAAGAAGCACATCGTGGTGGGAACCCAAGGCCAAGCAGAACTACTTCCGTCATGGGCCAGGGAGCAAAAAAAGAAAGAAGCAGGGGCTGGGGTCCCACGGGCGCAGGGCACAGTACCAAGGAGCCCCCACCTCCCAGAGATGCCACCACCTCCTGACAGCATCCCCTGGGGACCAGGCCTTCACCAAGTGTGCCTTGGGGGACTCAACATCCAAACTGCAGCACTGCCCCCGATACCCAGGCGGCCGCTGTGGCCCCCCAGAAGCACCGTGTCAGCCCTGTTGTACACCTGAAAAATCAAAACTTTGGAATAAGACATTTGGGGGGTTATATGTGGTTTTTTAGATGTTATTTATATATGAGAGGAATTAGCATTGAGAGCAGACTTAAAGCAGGGAGGAGGAGGCTACTTTTGAGCCACGAGAATCCAGCTGGAAGATCCAGGCTGCTCTAATGTCACCTTCTCCTTGCTCCAGCCGGGTGCAGGGTGACCTGGGTGAAGGTGGCCTCCGGGTGCAGCATTGTCATATAAAGCGGGAAACCAAACAGAGAAAGTGAAAGTTGGGTTAATGCAGGCCGTTATTAGCACAGTGCCTCAAGCCACTGTTTTAAAAAAATACGTGTTTTCATATCTCAAAATTTGAGGCTAGTTATCTCCCAAATGTATACACATTTAGTCATAGAAGTGCTTAGAAAAGGAATTGGGCTCGGTGGCCTCTGGTTTTGATTACCAACTACATGTATAGTTTTCTCTTTGAGTTTAGGTGGTTTCCTTTGGAATGTCCAGCGTGTCACCTAGTCGGTCATGTGAAGGGACATTACTCGCTGCTGTCAGGACTGGATTGTTTGTAGAGCTTGTAATGGAACTGTAGTTGATTCCCAGAGGATTTATTCATAAATAGGGTTCTAATTATAACATTAGAGGACCTTTGCAGAGATTAACTTTTTTGAAGCTAATGAAAATGGTGTTTCCTTGGGAGAGTATGCTATAAATTCTTAAGAAAAGAATCATTGGCATAAATGAAAATTGGAATTGCCAAAGCAACTGCCTGACACAAGTTTGTAAAAGCCAAAAAGGAGGTTGAAAACTCACAGGCCGCTCGAAAAAAGAATAAATGAAAATTGGATTTGATCCTATTATTTTGGCTAGGGCAGCTTGTTTTACATATTTCTGAAAGTAAAATATTTGTGTTTCAGAATTGTTTTGTGAAAACCAGGTATTCTCTGAGGGTTTCCAGGTCTTCCACTACAAAAGCTACTCTCAGTACCGCTAAAGTGGCTGTCAGCTCATCTGGCTGGAGGGTGACAGCAATGAAGTTGATAGATGTGCTTCACTGTAGGTCTGTTCCATAGCCACCCACCTGCCTAGCACCCTGCCGCCAGTTAACCACACCCTCCTGTCATGGAGGGCCCAGCCAGAGTCATTCCCTGAGAGCCACAGGCCTCCCCCCAGGGGACCAGGGCTTTACCACATGGGCCTCTGGGGGGACATGGAGCATCCAACCCACAGCACCGTGAGGGCAGGGACGTAGCAGTACCCAGGTTGGAAAGACAGAACTCAGCACAAAACCAGTTGCCTGCATTGTCACACTGCTAATGGTCCCTTCCGCTCTTCTTCTCCAGGGCCCCCGAGATCATCTTGGGTTTACCGTTTTGTGAGGCAATTGATATGTGGTCCCTGGGCTGTGTCATTGCAGAGCTGTTTCTGGGCTGGCCATTATATCCAGGAGCTTCAGAGTATGATCAGGTGGGTCTAGATGATGCGGGGATTTGCGGCAAGACCTTGTTCTCTCTCTGTCTGGAAAATATCCTGGATTAGCATTTCATTTAGAAGCCGGGCTGTGCACGCTGTTACTGGCTGTCATTGTTCCCTGAACCTTGCTTTTCTTTGCTTTTCTTTCTTCTTCCTTTTTCTTTTTGCTTCTTTCTTTCCCCATAAAACTGTTGTTTCCATTTTTCTCAAAGCTGCTAGAGCCGTGAGAATGCCATATGTACAATGACAGGAAAAGCCCTGACCTCCTTCTTGTCTTTTCTTGCAGATCCGGTATATTTCACAAACACAGGGTTTGCCAGCTGAATATTTATTAAGCGCAGGGACAAAGACAACCAGGTTTTTCAACCGTGACACAGACTCGCCGTATCCTTTGTGGAGGCTGAAGGTAGGCGGGCGCCCTCCCTCCCTGCCTCGCCAGCCACCCAGCATTTGGGCAAGAGGGGGCACAGTCCCATTAGTGGAATGTTCAACTTCAACGGGCTGATCCTGGGCCTCACTTTGATTAGGTCAACAAAAAGTGGGTGTGAAGGGTTCAGTTATTGTGTGGCTGAATTTGAATGTTCAGACACCTTTGCTCTGGGCCCGTGATTACCTGAGAAGCTTGGGTCCTGTTAACATTGCCGCAGTCCCCATGTTGAAGCCCATGAGCCTGGATGGCCGATCTGTGTGAGGAAGGAAATGAACATACCTTGCCCTCTAGGAGTTCACAGTCCAGAGGACAGACAGGACCCTGGTCCACCATACCAAGTGCCCTCTTCGCAGGAGGAAAGGACGTGGGCGCCAGTAGGAGGGCTAGCTCACCACCACCTGTGTCTGGGGGCCAGAGAGGAGCATCGGTGCTGGTGCCGTAGGCTGAGGTGGTCTCCCCAAGGACAGAATTGGGGGTGGGTTCTCCAGCCCCAGAAACAGCCTAGGCACTTCAGTGTCGCAGGCCCTGGAGTGCACTGCTGTTCACCGTATACCCTCCAGTGGTTGTACCTTAACGGAAACATAGTTTGCTTTCACTTTGATCTGTGCCTAGTAATTAAAATTAATGAAGGAAAAAATAATAAAAATCTTAAGTGTGGTTTTATTCATCTGAGTGTTTCTTCATTTGCAGGAGGGTGGATGGGTGTTTCGTTGACAGAAACCTCAGCCAAATGTTAATATCTTTAAGTTTAAAGACAGCTGTGTGGCCAGCAGTCAAAACAGACTGAGAAAAGAGGTTTGGGAGCTCAGCAGGCATCTTAGGCCTCTCATGGGAGACCTGGTGCTTGGCACCTGCCAGGGTGACACTAAGGTCAGGTTGTCAGCGTCCTTAAGTGGAGAGAGGAGGCCCGACAGGGGCAAGGCTCACTCCTGTGTCTTCCCAAGCACTTCAGGTGGTATGCCCAGCATCCCCAGGAGTTAAGCTGCTCAGATGTGCTGTCGTTGAGTGAGATTTTGAGGATTAATTACCTCTGATCCACAGAAAAATCTAGAAACCCACTGGACCTGGAAACAGCAGTTTCACAGCCAGTGATGGCAGTGGATGTTTCTGCCAGCCCAGACGGAGGGACAGTGGAAAACACAGGCACCAGAGCCACATCGATGCCACTTGTTGCCCAAGTGACCTTGACGAGTTTCCTAAGCTCTCTGCTTTCCCATCAAGAAAATGAATATAGCAGTCATCCTTCTTAACGTGATCATGAAGAGGCATTAATGAGTTAGTGTGCTTTGAAATGGTGCTGTGCACATATGTGTTGAACTGTTTAGAAGGGCTCATTAAATAAAATAAAACTTTGAAACAAACACCCACTTTTTTCCACAATGAACTCTTCCCCTACATTTAGGGAAGGCTTCAGAGTGACCAGGGACGTGGCATCCCTTACCCATCTTAAAATCCTCTGTAAGTGAAGGCCGTTCAGTGCAGGCTATGAATGTAGGTGCTCACGGAAGGAAGCAGGCTGCATTAGTGTGGATGAACAGAGAGAGGAGTCAGTGTGCAGGTCACTTTAAGAAGAATCAAAGTCTATAAGGTGAGAGAGAACCTCCGTGAGCAGCAGGGTCTCTCGGTTGGAGTCGGTGACCCAGAGCTAAGTCACATTACCAATCAATCGGCTTTTGGCTCTCTCCGTAGACACCAGATGACCATGAAGCAGAGACGGGGATTAAGTCCAAAGAAGCAAGAAAGTACATTTTCAACTGTTTAGATGATATGGCCCAGGTAAGCGCCCCGGGTGAGCGTGCAGCGTAAGCACTTCCCAGCCCAAGTGCAGCAAGACTGTGCAAGTGTGACGAAGTGGGCAGGTAGAAATCCCATTGCCCAACTGTGGCCATCAGCGTGGGCCTTGCACACTTACGTGCCAGCCTCCGTAAGAATGAATTGGGGGGCATTGTGAAAACCTTACACCAGCATCTTCAAAATAGCTTTGTTTTATTATTTCCCATCTGTAAAGTAGTACTGGTTGGTTTTGCTGATGTTTTCAGGGGAAGAATTCTAGCCCATTAATATATTTGCGTTTAATACTGTGTTCATGTCCTAGGGCTATAGCAGGATACAGAAAACTGGGTGGTTTAAGGCGGTAGAATTAAGTCCTGGATGTTGAAAGTGTATATTGAAGGCATGTTGAAAGTGTACTTCCCAGGCCCTGGGAAGACCATCCCATCTCTGCCCGCTTCTGGTGACCCTTGGCTGTCCTCAGCAATGCTCCTCCACAAGGCCTTATTCCACCTCACTGTTCAGATCTCCTCCCTTAAAAAGTCACTCATCGTTGGATCTGGGGCCCACCCTGATCCCATATGGCCTCAATTTATTATATCTACAAAGACCTGATTTCCAACTAGGTCACATTCACAGCTACCAGGAATCAGGCCTTGAACATATCTTCGTGGGGAGGGGTTGCAGACCACTACATTCAGTCTTTCTTACTCTCTGGCAGGGAACACAGATTCTCACCTTTGTGCCCCAGAGAAAAGTCTAGAACTTTAGCTACTTTTATTGTAAAGAAGAGTCTAAAATCAGGGCAACCCAAAGTGCGTTTTTCTTTAAAGCAACGAGAAATAAAGCTATAGACTAATAAACACTTAGCACACCTCTTACTGCAGATGAGTGTAACCAAAAATCCTGATTCTGAGTAAAGCGCACTTGTCAGTTGATTAGTAGCTTAGATTGTCTGAGAAAACCGAAATTGCTTTCCAGGGCATGTCTTGGAAAAAAATAGAAAGCATCACAAAACAAGCCTTTTAAAGACCATCCTCATATAGTCTTGCTCTTAAAAATCCTGTGCTCACATACCCTGCTCGCCTTGGCCAGAGGTGACCGCAGTGAACGCAGGACTGCAGTAATTCTGGCCTTGCTCCGGGAACCAGGCGCAGGGTGACCTTCTGTGAACAGAGGAGGAGGGCACTCAGGCCCCTCCATTTCCCTCAAAGTTTACACAAACCTTCTACGCATCTTTTCTCTACTGCCTCTTTGTGATTTTTTTTTAATTGTGGTAAAACACACATCGCATAAAATTTACCATCCTCACCTTTTTAACATGTGCAGTAGAATTAAGGACATGCTTATTATGCAGCCAGGCTCCACAGTGCTTTTCCTCTTGTGGCCGTTTTTAAAGAGATGTGAGAAGAGCTGCACGTCCGCTTGGCTGATGACGGCACAGCAGTGTATAGCCTATGCCAACCACAGCAGCCCTCTCCCTTGCCCCTGGCCCTGGTCCTTCCCGGCACCCAGCCTCCTCTGCACATCCTCTGGGCACCAGCAGCATATGGGTGGTGCCCTCTGCAGGGGCAGAACACAGCCTCCCGGGACGTGGAAGGGGCTTCAGAGACGAGGAGGAGAAGCAGGGCTGAGGATACAGGAGCTGGGAGAGGTAAGGTGGTGGGGCCCTTGTCACCTGTCCTGCTTGCTTCCAGGTGAACATGACGGCAGACTTGGAAGGGAGCGACATGCTGGTAGAGAAGGCAGACCGGCGGGAGTTCATCGACCTGTTGAAGAAGATGCTGACCATAGATGCCGATAAGAGAATCACTCCGATCGAAACCCTGAACCACCCCTTTGTCACCATGACACACTTGCTCGATTTTCCCCATAGTACACAGTAGGTGTCCTGCTCAACCCTTTATGCCGGGGCAGACCTCTTTGAAGTCCTAGATAGTAAATATATTAGGGTTTTCAGCTACCTGGTTTCTGTTACAACTACCTAGCTCTGTAGGTAGCAGAAAGCAACAAGCGGGGTGATGCATAAATGAATGTCTGAAGCTGCATCCCAATAAAACATTCATAAAACACATGGGCGCTGGGTTGGGATCCTGGGCTATGGTTTGCTCTATACCAAAAGGATGGGAAGAGGAACATGGGAGAGCATGGGGCTGGATGGACCAGACTCTGGTTGCTGTCCATGCAGAGGGGTACCCCCGCCCGCAAGTGCCCCACATAGCAGAAGCAAAACTAGCTTCAGCACCAAAGGTTACTCTCACTTGCCAAGGCAGGAAGACCCTAAGAAACTGAGCCCTGAAGGGTGAGGAAGAGGCTGGGTACAAGTGGACCACCAGCTGGGCAGGGCTGGGCACCAGACTTGGGGGGCAGTGGAGGAGACTCTGAGGCCACAGGAGTAAGCCAGGGCCAAGCCCTGCATGATGAGGATGTGGGTCTATATCCAGAGAGCAGTGGGAAATCATTAAAGGACCAGTAAGCAGGGGGCTGGCTGGCTGCCTGTGTGTTGCGCACAGACCTGCCTGCCGCTGCTGCACGAGTAGTCTGGAAAGATACTCACCAGATCTCACAGCTCGAGGTGGGTGGTAATTTAGTGACAGGTGTTTCGGTGCAATGGCAGAAGCAGAAACCCATTTAGCAAGTGGGAAGATCAAGTGAGAGGTGCTGAAACAGAGTTATCTTTCAAGAAATGAGGCTGTGAAAGGAAAGGGGTGACTGGGAATGGGTTGGGGAAGGTTATTTTTCCATTCTAAATATATTCTATTGATATACATGGTGATAACATTCATCACAGGGAATTTGTACCTGTACACGGTATATCTTGCTGCTGCTTTTTTCCCATTCTCCTCCCCTCCTTTCAGCCCCTCTTTCCCTCTTTATTTACAAAGGCTTCATTTCCTTTTTTTTCCTTCTATTCTTTTTTTTCTTGTCCCTTCTTTCCTCCCCACACCCCTTGTTTGGGCAAGTTTTTTTTTTGAGGAACAAGGAGACTTAAACAATTTCAGGTACTGATGGGAAGTATCCGTTAGCGTGTGAGAGACTGAAGGACAAGGATCCTGGGCCAGTTTCCTGAGACAGTGGGAGGGGCTGGGTTAGAACATGGGCGGGAAGATAAACAAATATCACCGAGACTGGCAGACCAGAGGGAATGTGGTTGTCAGCTGGTAGCTGGTTTAGTGGGCAGAAGTTGAGGGAGTTCCTGTCGCACAGCTTCTGTCTCTCCAAAGAAGGCAGCAGGGTTCTGTTGAGAAGATAGCTGTTGGTTTAAGAAGGTAGGATGTTTAGTGGCCAGGGCAGAAGGTGACAGAACAAACTGACCAAAGAAACATGGTTGGACTGTCAATTGCTGAGGCCAAACATGAAGACTGGATAGTGTAACTGACCTCCTCAGGTAAAGGCAGAGAGAAAACTGACAGCTGGGTTTGTCCAGGTAGAATTTGTGCCACGCTGTTAAGAGGAAAAGACAATCTGAGGGAGAAGTCAATTTTGCTGCCATTGGAGTGGCTGGATCCAAAATGGCAGCCATAGCCACAGAGGAAGGAAGTGAAGGTGGGAGGGGTCCAGGTGAACTAGATGCCTGGGTCAACTCCTGGGGTGGTTTTGTAGGGACAGTTAAATGGGCCAGATGGGTGGAGAACGTGGCCAGGAACAAGATACTTGAGCTTCTGCTTGTGGGAAGTGGAGTAGTTTGATGTCTCACAGACCAGGGACTAGGTGGTGGGGCCGAGGGCAAGATCACTAGGAAGAGAGGTCACTGAGAAGCCAGGGTGTTTGACAAGTCATCAGCGCAGCCTCTGAGGTCTTTCTGGGTGGACAGGGAATGGCTTAGAGCGAAAGACAGAGCCAGTGTCAGAGGCCTCAGTGAGTGAGGGGCGGTTTTCAGTAGGTGGAAATACCACTTCCAGCCTCAACCTGAGGTACCTGGGACATGAAAGAATGAAGAGTCATATCCCTGCACACATGCAGGAGCAGTTGTGTGCTCAGAGAGAACAACAGATTCTCATAGATCTCGAGGCAAAGGAATGCCATGAGAAGAGCCTGGAGATCAGAGGTCTGCACACCGCTGCTGGCCCTGCCATGGCCAGAATCAGATGGGGCCGAGTCTCCACGCTGGTCCCAAGCTTACAAGATGCAGCCTTCAAGAAGGGAGTGGATGGCACCGACCACTGGGTGTTTCCTCTGTTTCAGTTCTGTTCCTTCCCAGTCCGTGAAGCAAGTCAAATCACACTGCAGCAGCAAAGCAGTGCCTCCTTAACGCAGAGCCACGTGTGAAGCAGCCAGGTTCCAGTACAGAGGAATCCAGAGATATCCCTTCCAAGCCCAGGTCACGCGGTCTATTCTGTCTAGTGTGGCAGGAGCCAGTGAAGGCAGCACTGACAACTTAGAACTCAGAATATAGGCTAAGAAGGACAGGTGTGTCTGAGCACATCAGTACTTAACTAAGACTCAGTCCTGGAACTTGCTGCGGAGACCATAGACCTCCAGGCCAGCCACTGCGGACTCCACCCTTGGGGCCGAGCCCTAGCTGTCCAAATGAAGGAGACCCACTCACTTCTCCATACCAGGATTACAGTGCATGAATTCTTTAAGAACCAATCTTCTTATACACTAACCCGAAGTGAAAGTGCTTGCCTCAGCCTGATAAAGCTCAAACCATGTTTAGTGAGAAAATTCTGAGTCTGAAAACTTTGCACTGAACTGTCACAAAACCATTAAATGCTTCATATACATTCCAAAAATAATACACAGTCCATCTTTTATGTCTGCAACCTCCACATGAAAGCTTTCACAGTAGACGTGATACTTGATAGCAGCTTCAGATATGTTGGCACTGGCAGCATTATTAGCAGAATACTTCGCTGTTATATCGGGACGGTGTCCTCTCTTCTCTCCAGGGTCCATAAATGTTTATTTAGCGTGTATTATGTGGCCGATGTAGGCAGTCATTAACTTAGAAGTAAGATTCCGTAAGTTCTAAGTTTTTTGAAACTTGGAAAACACTTTCCATGGAAAGGATGTTTAGGTATAACCTACTAATACCTGTTTAACCCGCGATATAATGTATGTAGTAAACATTTGTAATCTTAAACTAGTAGAAAAATATTATTTATAGTCAGCTACATTGTCTCTAATTAAAATATCATTTTGAAGTTGGAGATTCCTTAGGATTTGAGCTTGGATACTAGCATTTGGGGCATAATGACTTTACTGAAGACACAGAAGTGAATGAAGAGCGGTGTGGAGACTCTGAAGGACATTTTGTAACAGTCTCAGGAGCTGGGGTGGGAGCGAGACAGGGTCTCGCTGTATAGTCTGGGCTGACGTTGAACTCATGATGATCCTCCTGCCTCAGCCTCCCAGGTGCTGGAATTACAAGCATGTGCCTCCAGTCCTAGGTTCTGTACCACTTTTATAATTAATTAGGGTTTTGTTTTGAGTGGAGGAATAAACAGGACAAAACTGGGCCAGAGATATAGCTCAGTGGCACAGTGCCTGTCTGGTAAGCATGAGGTCCCAAGTTTGATTCCTGGTACCAGAAAAAAAAAAGGAAAAGAAAATTTTACTTTATGTAACTGAGCAAGAATTAGAAAAGAAAACAAGGATGAAGAGGGAGGGGTACATGTGTGAAGATTGCTAGTACAGTAATTACCTCAGAGCTTCCTACACTTTAGCCTCACCCACAAAATAGGAAGAATAATTCTGTCTCCACCTTGCGGTGTTGTAGGGCTGAGTGAGAGATTGCAAACACCGTAAATATTAGCACTACTCTTGGTTGCTGTTAGTTATTGGTGTCACCGATGTTTTCACTGCATGCCCAGCTCCAGGAAGGAGCCAGAGTAGCAGTGGTTTTGCTGAGGGGGAGTTCCTTGGCTGGAGCTGGTGGAGCTGGTGCCCCAGGGTAGCTGCAAAGCGCACAGCTGTCTTTGGGGAATGCAGATGCAGGAGGCAGCTCGGTCTAAGCTGCTGTTTAGCATCCCAGTCAGAGCTTATCTGTATGTTCATGGGCCAGAAACCACCCTGAAAGTTGAGACTGCAGCAAGGCTGCAGAGGGACCTGTGGAGGGTGGTGGGGAGTGCAGCGAGAATGGCCGGGTGGTGTCTTCCGCAGAAGCTTGGCCCACCAGGGTGGGGACGATGGGGATTCACCTACAGAACAGTGAGGTCACACATGTACAGACTACGTGGGAAACCTACAGCATTTACACATAAAGCTAAGTATCACTGATGGTCTCGTGTACTGGATTAATCGTGTTCCCTTTTTCCCACCCTACCCTCTTTTCCCTGTGTCTCTATCTGCCTCTCCCTTTTGCATAAACAGTGTCAAGTCATGTTTCCAAAACATGGAGATCTGCAAGCGGCGAGTGAATATGTATGACACGGTGAACCAGAGCAAAACCCCTTTCATCACACACGTGGCCCCCAGCACATCTACCAACCTGACCATGACCTTTAACAACCAGCTGACCACGGTCCACAACCAGGTGAGCGGGGAGCAGCCGGGCAGCCGGGCAGGGCTGCTGGTGTGGGCAGCAGGACTCGGACCCCCGCAGCCCCATCAGGGGGCAGAGTCCCTCTCTAAGGAAGCACTTTCTTCCATGGTCATGTTCTTTGGCCGGCTCAGGGGCTCTTTGTGTGACTACTGGCGCCGCTGAAGAGGTCTCAGAGAGGACTTGCAGGGCCTTCTTTCTGTGGTTGTGCCACTTCCTGCTGTCCTCTGCCTGATGAGCACTGGACGAGGAGATGCCCTGATGCTTTTGTGCCTGACGTCTGTCCAGTAAGGAGTTCCAGAACCGGAAGGGATTCATGCACCTCCCTGCTTATCTGCTTTGCCCTGGTCTGGGTGCTCTCCTTCCAAGACAGACAAAACCTGCCCTTTCTCCAGGCCGTGGGGAAAGCAGCACATCAGGCTGTCAGCAGGATCCTAGCAGCTAGAGCTAAAGGGACTAGAAAACTAAGGGTTTTTTTCTCCTGCACATTTTCAACCTTTTGCAGAAAATCAGCAAAATTGAACATAATGCTGAAAACATGGGAAAATATTTATTAAATGGTAATCTCCAAGCTGTAGATCTGACTACCTGTAAGATCTAAGACTTTATTTATTTATTTATGGTTCTTTGAGACAGGGTGTCATGTGTAGTTCAGGCTATCTTTGAACTCACTGTGTAGCCCAGGCTGGCCTCACACTTATGGCAATTCTCCTGCCTCAGCCTCCTGGGGGCTGGGATTATAGGCATCCACCACCACTCCCGCCCTAAGACTCTTACTTTTGCTGTCATCTTCCAGTCTCATAGTTCCCCCAAAAAAGTGTCCCTGGACTTTTCTTTTCTTTCTTTTTTTTTTTTTTTTTTTGGTTTTTCTCCGGTACCGGGAACCGAACTCACGACCTTGCGCTTGCCAGGCAGGCGCTTTGCC